AAACTGTTACAGTTTCAAATTTGAACTTTCCTCTTAAAAGTGGTGAAATCTTATTTTACTGAGATTCTCAGATTTTGTGTAATACATTTTTAAAATAATTTTATTTTTCTCAAAAAAAAATAATTACGTAAGCAAAATCGACCAATAAAAATTTAGCTCAAAATAACTCAAGTAACTCATTTCTGAAACACCTTGTAAAAAAATAATTTTAGGTGATGCAGGGGGTTAATATCTATTAATTGTGTATATAATTTAGAGGTAAAACCGGAAGTTAAACTTAGATGTTTTCGTAAATAAGCTTTGGATTTTCAGATAAAACTTTTCTGATTTTTCTTAAAAATATTTTTTTGAATTAGAAGTAGTGACAATTTTTATAATCTAAAGCTTAAGAAAAGCTTTTTTTCGAAACCATTAATCTATACAAAAAAAATTTAATGATTCACACTGTAAAATTTGTAATTTGGACCAAAATTTTTATTATTTCGAAGTATAGAACTATAACTTTACTAATTTTGGGAGAATATTTAATAATTTTTGTGATTTTCGACCAAATACCACATTTTGGGAGGCTGTAAAAGCGTCAAGTAACAATGTGAATAATTTCGAAAAAAATATTTATTGTTTTGTGAATGACTAGAATATCTCTCGATAATTACCAGATCAAAGGGCACAATTATTCGCAGCTAATAATATCAATTAAGTACGTCGTGCTCATAACAAAGATTGAAGAGGTCATTAATTGGTAAACTGTAAATAAGTCTAATCGAAAACAAGAGACCGAAAAGTGCAACAAAGCGAGGGTGCACTATATCGCGTGCACCTGCGCCATTTCAGCTGCAATTTGTGGCTGAAATTATACATAATTGAAAATGTTTATTATTCCTGGAAACGTTACGCACGTTGTTGTTTATTGCCTCAAAAGTGCATTCAGCACACGCGTCTTCGATTACATGCAACCAAGCGTCGCTTTTTCAACCCCAATCGGAAATTTCACACAAGAAAAAAAGATTTTGAAAGCTACTCTATTTTGAATAATTAATTAGTTAATTCGAGTTGTGTTGTTGGTTTCTTGTGTGACGTAATTTAATCATGTTGTAATTTATCTCCCAACATGTGTTTTTTGATGTTTTTTTCTCCTTATTGTGCTGTAATTGCAATGAAGAAAGTGGTCCATTGCATCACATGACCTTTCTCGTTCTTCCGGCCCAGCTGAAGTGCATCCAACTCTCTCATCGTCCGAAAAAATGCCCAAAAATCGGTTTTATTTTCAGTTGATGCGGTAGGTCAGTGAACCAAGACAAGAAGATGATGAAGAAGAAGAAGAAGAAAAAAAATGTTATTATATAATTATTGTTTGAAGCCGAAAGGAAATGGAAGCGATTAAATTTAGGCAGATTGTTGCATTGTGCAATGGCATTTTATTTGAGGGGTCATGCAGAACATTGCACTTCGAAGAGGCATCACTTAAACGTTTTGTTGTTTAGTTTGTGTGTTGTTATTCGAAAAACAAAACACAATGCCCTCTCTCTAATCGGTCTCTCTATTTTTGTTGTTGTTATATACAGTGACCGTTTTTATTTAACGGCGACAGGTTCATGGACACGACCAGAGTTGACCGTAATTCTGCATTAACACTGACATATTCTGTGTATGCACCATATTCCCACTGCACCGATTCGGAGCAAGGCGACCGCGGGAGAGGTGCACCGACTCCGGACGGAAAACACACTTTTCGGACGTACCCCGTATAACTAACTTTTTTTCATTTTTTCTATTTAAAACTTTTCTTAAACTGAATTTAAAAATTCCTGAAATTACGAACGGAAAACACACTTTTCGGACGCACCCCGTATAACTTTTTTGATTTTTCTCTATTTAAAATTTCTCGTAAACTGAATTTAAAAATCCCTGAAATTGCATAATTATTGCGAATGCAATTCTTGGCTAGCACTGACCTCAAAGTAACATTCTTTGACAAGTTTGGTATGTTTCTGTAATTCATTGTTAATTACAAAAATTAATCAAGATCTGTTCAGAAGGTGAAAATCTTAGGAAATGTAAAGGATTACTATTTTATGACTCTTTTATGACTAAATGACGAGTAAAAGACTCACCTTTCAGGCATGGAGTAAAAACTCTGTTTTTTGCCAGTATTTTTACTTTAATGACATTTAACGAAATATTGTCTTTTTTGTGCTTCATCGTTTTCTGACAAGGTGTATTGTAGATTATCAGTATTCGACATTTTGTACTACCAACTGCACTAGTCATTCACTAGTTAAATCAGTAAACACTTAAATTACAACACATATTTCATGACGTTTATTATGATTTATTTTGTTCATTTACTTGTTAATTATTGTGCTGTTCTCTACTCTCGAGCTAAATATGTTTGCGAATAAAATAGTACATATTATGTGTAGTAAAAGTAAGTTAATGTGGCTCAGCTTTGCTCCTAATAACATAATATACTATTTTTATTGAACACAGTTTAACTAGATAAGTTCATATTTAAGCATCCAAAAAAAAATAAGGGGTTCACAAAAGTTGGAACAATAATATTATACAATAATAATAATAATGATTATAATTTTTTTTTTTAATTTTTTGTATTACCTACATTACTGTAATGTACAAAATATATCGTTACACTATTGATAAATGTCCACCCTGTATAACATTAGTGCGACATTTTAATTGCCTCCATCTATACTTTTGAAAATTTAGAGTCACGATAAAAACCAACACAAATTTCAAGATATATGCTCACAAATTGGATTTTTTTATTATACCGAGTGTTTGAGTTAGGCCCATTTTTTGACAAGTTTGATAAACTAATCAATATTTGTTGGTAACAATTTTTTTCTAATTTTGACTGTTTATTTTTAACTAAAAACTGTAAATCCAAATCAAATCAAGTCATATTTAACCGTCCCAAAAAAAAAAAAATTAAGGGGTTCACAAAAGTTGGAGCCATAAATTCATTATACAATAATAATGAAATGATGATAACAGTTTTTTTTTTCAATTTTTTGTATTACCTACATTACTATAATGTACAAAATATATTGTTACACTATTGATAAATGTCCACCCTGTATAACACTAGTGCGACATTTTAATTGCCTCCATCTATACTTTTGAAAATTTAGAGTCACGATGAAAACCAACACAAATTTCAAAATATATGCTCACAGAGTGTATTTTTTTATTA